AACCATCTTATAGGGTAATATGTCTTCGAAAAAGCTTTAAAAACCTAATGATTATCAAAACTCTCATAATTTGACAGATCAGTTAACCTTAAAATTTCAATATAAAATAAAATGCTAGAGAGAAGCGCGCTGTAGAGTAAAAATATGTAGTCACGCGTGGGGAATGCCAGCCTGAAACTACAATATCTTTAACCACAAACACAACTGTTGGGTTAGGTCATCATTAAAATATACAATAATTAAGTATGTGTAGCGAAAACGTTGCTTCAATGCTGTTTCCAATGCCATAACGTGAATATATCGATTGTTTATATACTTATCAGCACAATACAGTTTTATTTTGATATTAATTAATTACTATGGGTTTTAGAGTTTCACTACTGCTATTAAAGTAGCGTTTAATTGTATAAATGTAATATATATTTAAATGTGCTATTATATTAACATTTAGTTATCCATAAAATGTAATGTATATGTTATATTGCAATAATAATTATTTAGTGTGCGAATAAGTTTTAAATTAAGATAAATTTATCCGTTAAAAACGTGAATGTTTTTAAAACTATTATTCGTTGCAATTGTTGAAAAATATTTAAAAAATTGTTTTAGTTGTAAAAATAGAATAGCTATCAAGTTTCAAAAACCATTCATTTTTAGAAAATGTTACCACTGGAACCTTGCTAAATTAATAAGAAAATACAATATAANTTATATTGCAATAATAATTATTTAGTGTGCGAATAAGTTTTAAATTAAGATAAATTTATCCGTTAAAAACGTGAATGTTTTTAAAACTATTATTCGTTGCAATTGTTGAAAAATATTTAAAAAATTGTTTTAGTTGTAAAAATAGAATAGCTATCAAGTTTCAAAAACCATTCATTTTTAGAAAATGTTACCACTGGAACCTTGCTAAATTAATAAGAAAATACAATATAAAACATTATTTCATCTTATTGCTGTTATATACTAAATATGTTGTTAAAAATGAAACATAAAATTAAACACAACTATCATTCTTGTTATTGTTAAAAACATACTATAGCATGATACTATTAAAGCTTAAATTTATATACAATTTTAGTTTATATAGTTTTGCAAAAAACATCTTAATTTTCCTATACAGTAAAATCATTACTTACGTATCATAATACAATTCTGTAGTTAAATTAAATATTTAAAACATCATTATAATTCATCGTGTTATTTTAATCAGAAATTAGATTATAAATCAGTTATTTAAGACAGATATCTGGTTTTTGTTAATAAATACTCCACGTTCTTTAATGTATTCTTGTGCTCACTATGATAGTATTTATACAAATAGAAT